TATCCCCCCTTATGTATTATACATGGAGATCATATCCCCCCTTATGTATTATACATGGAGATCATATCCCCCCTTATGTATTATACATGGAGATCATATCCCCCCCCCTTATGTATTATACATGGAGATCATATCCCCCCCTTATGTATTATACATGGTGATCATATCCCCCTTATGTATTATACATGGAGATCATATCCCCCCCTTATGTATTATACATGGAGATCATATCCCCCTTATGTATTATACATGGTGATCATATTATCCCCCCCCTTATGTATTATACATGGTGATCATATCCCCCCTTATGTATTATACATGGAGATCCCCTTATATCCCCCCTTATGTATTATACATGGAGATCATATCCCCCTTATGTATTATACATGGAGATCATATCCCCCCCTTATGTATTATACATGGAGATCATATCCCCCCTTATGTATTATACATGGAGATCATATCCCCCTTATGTATTATACATGGAGATCATATCCCCCCTTATGTATTAATATACATGGAGATCATATCCCCCCCTTATGTATTATACATGGAGATCATATCCCCCCTTATGTATTATACATGGAGATCATATCCCCCCCCTTATGTATTATACATGGAGATCATATCCCCCCCTTAGATCATATCATGGAGATCATATCCCCCCTTATGTATTATACATGGAGATCATATCCCCCCTTATGTATTATACATGGAGATCATATCCCCCCTTATGTATTATTATACATGGAGATCATATCCCCCCTTATGTATTATATACATGGAGATCATATCCCCCTTATGTATTATACATGGAGATCATATCCCCCCTTATGTATTAATACACATGGAGATCATATTCCCCCACCCCCCCCTTATGTATTATACATGGAGATCATATCCCCCCCTTATGTATTATACATGGAGATCATATCCCCCCCTTATGTATTATACATGGAGATCATATCCCCCCTTATGTATTATACATGGAGATCATATCCCCCCTTATGTATTATACATGGAGATCATATCCCCCCTTATGTATTATACATGGAGATCATATCCCCCCCCTTATGTATTATACATGGAGATCATATCCCCCTTATGTATTATACATGGAGATCATATCCCCCCCTTATGTATTATACATGGAGATCATATCCCCCCTTATGTATTATACATGGTGATCATATCCCCCCCTTATGTATTATACATGGAGATCATATCCCCCCTTATGTATTATACATGGAGATCATATCCCCCTTATGTATTATACATGGAGATCATATCCCCCCCCCCCCCTTATGTATTATACATGGAGATCATATCCCCCCTTATGTATTATACATGGAGATCATATCCCCCCTTATGTATTATACATGGAGATCATATCCCCCCCTTATGTATTATACATGGAGATCATATCCCCCCTTATGTATGTATTATACATGGAGATCATATCCCCCCTTATGTATTATACATGGAGATCATATCCCCCTTATATCCCATATCCCCCCTTATGTATTATACATGGAGATCATATCCCCCCTTATGTATTATACATGGAGATCATATCCCCCCTTATGTATTATACATGGAGATCATATCCCCCCCTTATGTATTATACATGGAGATCATATCCCCCCTTATGTATTATACATGGAGATCATATCCCCCCCCCTTATGTATTATACATGGAGATCATATCCCCCCCCCCTATGTATTATACATGGAGATCATATATCCCCCTTATGTATTATACATGGAGATCATATCCCCCCCCTTATGTATTATACATGGTGATCATATCCCCCCTTGTATTATACATGTATTATATATCATGGAGATCATATCCCCCCTTATGTATTATACATGGAGATCATATCCCCCCTTATGTATTATACATGGAGATCATATCCCCCCCTTATGTATTATACATGGAGATCATATCCCCCCCTTATGTATTATACATGGAGATCATATCCCCCCTTATGTATTATACATGGAGATCATATCCCCCCTTATGTATTATACATGGAGATCATATCCCCCCTTATGTATTATACATGGAGATCATATCCCCCCTTATGTATTATACATGGAGATCATATCCCCCCTTATGTATTATACATGGAGATCATATCCCCCCCTTATGTATTATACATGGAGATCATATCCCCCCTTATGTATTATACATGGAGATCATATCCCCCTTATGTATTATACATGGAGATCATATCCCCCCTTATGTATTATACACTGGAGATCATATCCCCCCCCCCCTTATGTATTATACATGGAGATCATATCCCCCCTTATGTATTATACATGGAGATCATATCCCCCCCTTATGTATTATACATGGAGATCATATCCCCCCTTATGTATTATATACATGGTGGAGATCATATCCCCCCTTATGTATTATACATGGAGGATATCCCCCCTTATCATATCCCATATCCCCCCTTATGTATTATACATGGAGATCATATCCCCCCTTATGTATTATACATGGAGATCATATCCCCCCCCTTATGTATTATACATGGAGATCATATCCCCCTTATGTATTATACATGGAGATCATATCCCCCCTTATGTATTATACATGGAGATCATATCCCCCCTTATGTATTATACATGGAGATCATATCCCCCCTTATGTATTATACATGGAGATCATACCCCCTCCTTATGTATTATACATGGAGATCATATCCCCCCTTATGTATTATACATGGAGATCATATCCCCCCCTTATGTATTATATACATGGAGATCATATCCCCCCTTATGTATTATACACATGGAGATCATATCCCCCCCTTATGTATTATACATGGAGATCATATCCCCCCTTATGTATTACACATGGAGATCATATCCCCCCCTTATGTATTATACATGGAGATCATATCCCCCCTTATGTATATATACATGGAGATCATATCCCCCCTTATGTATTATACATGGAGATCATATCCCCCTTATATAATTATATGTATTATACATGGAGATCATATCCCCCCTTATGTATTATACATGGAGATCATATCCCCCTTATGTATTATACATGGAGATCATATCCCCCCTTATGTATTATACATGGAGATCATATCCCCCCTTATGTATTATACATGGAGATCATATCCCCCCTTATGTATTATACATGGAGATCATATCCCCCCCCATATCCCCCCTTATGTATTATACATGGAGATCATATCCCCCCTTATGTATTATACATGGAGATCATATCCCCCCCCCTTATGTATTATACATGGTGAGATCACATCCCCCCTTATTGTATTATACATGGAGATCATATCCCCCCTTAATCTCCTCTTCTCAAGAGAGAATAAATTCAGTTCCTCTAATCTCTCCTCATATCTGATCTCCTCCATGCCTCTTATCAGTTTGGTTGCCCTTCTCTGTACTTTTCTCCAGTTCCCCAATGTTCTTTTTTCTTTACAGCGGTCTCAGCCTTCAATATTCAGAGCTGAAGAGGTGGTCACATTGGGAAAACCAAAATATTATGTGTAAACAAAAATTACCAAGGCTTGTATACTGTATTTATTAAGTGCACTGCCAAGCTGTTTGGCAGGAAATGATGTTTCTATCTCACTAGTATATATTTAAACTTTAATGTAAAATTTCTGGCAAATACCGTATTTAAAGGAAACCCATAGCGATGGACAAAATAGAAACTTAATACTTGAAATACATAACCCCTTGACACCAACCCCACACAAATATGTGGCCTCATTGTACTGGGCTTTATGCCGTGGGGCTGCATAACTGCATGTCTCCTGCACGGCGTGCTCCCAGCATAGAGACCGGGGTCTCACTATGACTATCGGATCCCATACTAACGATCAGGACCCAGAACTCCCGATTGCGCGGGTCACCTGATCGCTGTGATCGCCCTCTGATTGGCTATCACATTGATCAGTCACTGTGAAGCCCACCCCCGTTTTTTCTCTCTCTGAATGGAGGAGAGAGATACATTGTATTTTTCTCTCTCTTTTCAGAGAGAAAAAAACCCAGTGTGTTAAATAAAATATTAAAAAATAAGAGAAAAAAAAAACTGAAGAAAAAATACCTAGATCAAGGTTTGATCTAGGCAAGTGCCAGGGTTAGTGTTTGGATCAAGTAAGGGTCAAAGGTCAAGGTCAGTGTCAAAGGTCAGGGTCTATATTTTGGACAGGATTTTTTTTTTAAATTAGTATCAGTGTCAGTTAGTGTCAGTGTGTTTAGGTAGGACAGAAAAAAAATAACAAAATGTGCACTATTGTGTCTTGGCTGTACTATGGGTACAAACAACAAATAACATACATATATGTGGCATCGCTGCAATTGTGAGGAGCAGGAGAATTTATTTTGGGCTGTTCTTTGGTGGTAGGTTATGATAATAACAAGAAATATACAGCTAAATAGTTTTTTTTTTTTTACTATTTTGGGCCAAATTTCATTTAACCTCCCTAGCGGTCTGATTATGTCCATATTTCTGTGCTCAAAGCGGTACATTTTTTTTGCATGGAAATATGTATTTTTTTTATTGTAGGCCTGTAATTTTTAGAAATAACTCACTGAAATGTGTCCGAACAAGAGTCTAGTAAACATCCCGGGTAGGATAAAACTTGAAACACAAAATCATAAATTATAATTTTAATAAATAATCATAAAAAATAATAATTTAATAATAATACATTTAATTCAATAATATAATCAAACCAAAAACACTGAAATTTGAAATATAGCGCCGAGTTCGCACATCACTGAGGAAAGTCGCAGAATCGTTTTCAGTGTCTGATGACGAATCATTATCACTCAGTTCTGCAAGTGGTTCTGATTTACTATCGCTGTTCTCTAGCTGGTCTAAAACCACTTTTGACCTAAAGAGACGCTTTTTGGACGCCATGGACGTTTCTCAGTTTCCAGGCAGAAAGAGCAGTAAAAATGCAGCAGGGCGCAGGACAAAGCACTCGGGACAAATGTATGTGAAATGGTTTGAATTTAGTGAATGTCACTTTTTGTCATTTTAAAAGTTCCCGCCATTCTGTCCCCGTACATCCCACAGGGGACGGAACCCAGAAGACAGATGCCGGCATCGGCCGGAGGACATTTACAGGGGACACTGCAGGAGGGACATCACGGGAGCGCAGGACAAGGTAGGAGAAGAAGAGATCCTGGAGAAGCGCCGCATGGTAAGCCCCGAGTGTAGCTTGGGGTTACCGCTTGTGGTGCTGAAACTTTACCCCGAGCTACACTCGGGAATACCGCCAGGGAGGTTAATAATATAAAAAAAAAATCAGGAGATATCTATTACCATTCACCACCAAACAAAAGCCCAATTTGTCCTGAAAAATACAAGGTATAATTCACCTGGATGTACAAAGTAGTTGTGATGATATGTAAAGATTTACTAACACGTGTCAAAGTTGCAAAATTGTGCTTAGGCATTTGGATTTGTTTTACATGAAGGGGTTAATAATAATAAAAATCATTGGAAATTAAAACTGCAGTGATAGGAATAGTGGCGTTACATTGATATTCTCCGTCTAAAAACATTGGTTGCCCAGCTGTCTCTGTCTTACATTGTTAGTCAAGTTAAAAAAAGGCCATCTAGTTCAACCAGCAGAACTCTTGAGCCACTGATCCAGAGAAGCAGGCAGATTAGAAAATCTGAGTGAAGCCAGAACGCCAATCTCCACACTTGTTTCATGTCAATGCTTAAAGTCCACAACAGTAAAATCAGTCTGTATGCAGTAAAGCATGCTTGTTATACTCCCGTAGGACCTAAGGGGTTAACCCTCCACATTGTGTAAAAGAGTTATTTGGTCCTGTCTTCTCTGATCCTCCTCTTCTTCTACTGTCTCCAATCCATCTGCTGATAGTACAGAGCCCTAAAATTCACTCTGCACATGCTCAGTTTAGTGCGTATTGCTAGAGAGTTTTTTTCCCTTTTGGAGAGTGCATGTGATCAGCACAGGGCCAATCAGCACTGTCCAGGCAGAGGGACAGGGGTTATGCAGCCTCATAGGAAAGTCGGATCAGAATAAAAACTCCTCCTACAAGCTTTAACCAGTGCTCAGCTGGACACTGATAGCAATTGCAAGACTGCTATGTACTGCTGATGAGAAAATGTATTTATCAGTTTATATTTACTAAAATAATTTGCATTTCCATGTTGTGTGTACTGTGGGAGAGCAGATATAGTGAATGCAGGGTCCGGGGAGAGCAGATATAGTGAATGCAGGGTCCGGGGATATAGTGAATGCAGGGTCCGGGGAGAGCAGATATAGTGAATGCAGGGTCCTGGGTTTAGTAACATTTTAAGAAAGCAGTGAAGCCCCTGTATGATAATACTATCCAACGCATGAGGAATCCAAAAGGTATTTGATCCATGGATCCCATGTTTTCTCAAAGAGGGACAGTTTTTTGTGTAGGATTTCCAACAGGTGTTCATTTGTCATTGATCCAAGTCAACTTGGCCCTCAAAAGATCAAATGGGATCACAAGGGACGTCCAGGATCTCGCAATTGAGATTCTTGCAGCTGTAAAAATAAGTTATTAATCGGCTCATATGTTTTGGTGTCCCCTCCACCAGTCATCCCAGAAGGGCCAGTTGTGGAGTTTTAATGAGGTTCATCTGGGTAAGAGAATAGACAAAATTAAACATGCGGATCCAAAACCACTTCACTTTTGGGCATGTCCACCATATGTGGAGCACTGTAACCTTCTAACCACAGCCCCTGAAACACAGGAGGAGGAGGCTCCTGAGACACAGGACACTATCCTCACCAGTATGGTGCTGGTATATGGTATACCATCTTAAGAACACCTTAACCTCCCTAACGGTATTCCCGAGTGTAGCTCGGGGTAAAGTTTCAGTACCAAAAGCGGTAACCCCGAGCTACACTCGGGCTTACCATGCGGCGCTGCATAGGGAGTCCCTCCAGCACTTACCTTGTCCTTCGCTCCCGCGATGTGTCCCCTGCAGCGTCCCCGACCATCTCCTCCGGCCGATGCCGGCATCCGGCTCCTGTGTTCCGGTCCCTGTGACGACGGGACATATGGGCGGCGGCGGCGGGATATTTGAAAATTTAAAAAAAAATGTCATTTTTTTCAAAACGAATTTTACATAGTAAAACATTGCTGTTTCAAACCATTTCACATACATTTTGTCCCGAGTGCTTTGTCCTGTCCCCTGTCTGCATTTTGACTGTTCTTTCTGCCTGGAAACTTAGAAAAGTCCATGGCGTCCAAAAAGCGTCCCTTTACGTCAAAAGCGGTTTTAGACCGTCTAGAGAACAGCGATAGTAAATCAGAACCACTTGCAGAATTAAGTGATAATGATTCGTGGAGAAATTCGTCATCAGACACTGAAAACGATTTTGCGACTTTGCTCAGCGATGTGCGAACTTGGCGCTATATTTCAAATTTCAGTGTTTTTGGTTTGATTATATTATTGAATTAAATGTATTATTATTATATTATTATTTTTTATGATTTATTTATTAAATTATAATTTATGATTTTGTGTTTCAAATTTTATCATACCCGGGAAGTTTACTAGACTCTTGTTCGGACAGATTTCAGTGAGTTATTCCTAAAAATTACAGTCTACAATAAAAAAACTACATATTTCCATGCAAAATAATAATGGTTACCGCTTTCAGCAGCACCAAAAATCTGAAATAATCATACCGCTAGGGAGGTTAATCAAAGTACTGAATCAAAGAGGTGTTTATGTAAGATTTAGGGTACTACTGAGCTAGTTTATGCCATTCTGCTGCTTCCATTGACTTACCCAAATCTTGTTCCCATTTCTACATATAAGATTCCTTGGAGGAACCAAAATGTAACAGTGTTTTTGTCATAATTCCTGCATAAGTGGGGCTGAATACAAATGCACGCCATACTTTACAGATATTTTTTTGTAAAAATTGTTGAAACTAATTTATCATTTTCCTTCCACTTCACAATTATGTGCCACTTTGTGTTGGTCTATCATAGTGGTCTCCAAACTGCGGTCATGGGACAGATGTGGCCCTTTGCTTACCTTTATCTGGCTCTTGAGGTACTATTTCACCTTGCAACACCATTCCCCCTACTGACACCATCTATGGGGTACTATTCTTCCCATTAAAGCCAATGATGGGACACTGAAGCTGGGGTATTTTTTTGCTCCCACTGGGCATAGTCTGGCCCTCCAAAAGCCTGAAGAACAGTAAACTGGTCCTTTGCTTAGAAAGTTTGGAGACCCCTGGTCTACCACATAAATCCCAATAAAATACATTCACCTTTTTGGTTGTAACATGAAAAATTGTGGAAAATTTCAAGGGTATGGAAAATTTTCATGGCACTGTAATATAAAATATGTACATTTTTATTGGAGACTGCAAACAACACAAATGACTAAACATTTTTGTCCAAAATATACATAGAAATAACTTTGTACAATAACCAGCCTCCTTTCTCTATTATTCCTTTTTCAAACTGTTTATTCTGTATGTTTACTTACAGTTGTGTTCAAAATAATAGCAGTCAGACATCACTAGCCTGATCAATCACTGTTTTTGGTAGAAATGATATTTCTACATGGCAAATAATTTACTAGCAGGTGTAGTAGAGTAATAGAAATCCAACAGACCAACAGTCATGACATGCATGCTGCTGATTCTGTGTCATTGAATCACTAATTGAAAGGGGCATGTTCAAAATAATAGCAGTGTGGAGTTCTATTAGTGAGGTCATTCATTCTTTGAAAAACAGGTGGCAATTATTGCCCTTATTTAAGGAAGGAAGGCAGCAAATGTTGTACATGCTGGTTACAGTGCATTTCTCTCTGAAATTCTGAGGAAAATGGGTCGTTCCAGACATTGTTCAGAAGAACAGCGTACCTTGATTAAAAAGTTGATTGGAGAGGGGAAAACATATAAAGAAGTGCAGAAAATGATAGGCTGCTCAGCTAAAATGATCGCAAATGCTTTAAAATGGCAACCAAAACCTGAAAGAAAGCGAAAAACTACCATTGGAATGGATAGAAGAATAGCCAAAATGGTGCGGACTCAGCCAACAATCAGCTCTAGGAAGATCAAAGAAGGTGTAAAGTTCCCTGTGAGGACTGTTACAATTAGAAGACGCCTATGTGAAGCCGAGCTATCTGCAAGAAGCCCCCGCAAAGTCCCACTGTTGAAAAAAAGACATGTGCTGAAGAGGTTACAATCTGCCAAAGAGCACATTGACTGGCCTAAAGAGAAATGGCGCAACATTTTGTGGACTGATGAAAGTAAGATTGTTCTTTTTTGGGGTCTAGTGGCCGGAGACAGTTTGTCAGACGACCCCCAAACACTGAATTCAAGCCACAGTACACTGTGAAGACAGGGAAGCATGGTGGTGCAAGCATTATGATATGGGGATGTTTTCTCATACTACGGTGTTGGGCCTATTTATCGCATACCAGGGATCATGGATCAGTTTGAATACATCAGAATACTTGAAGAGGTCATGCTGCCTTATGCTGAAGAGGAAATGCCCTTGAAATGGATGTTCCAACAAGACAATGACTCCAAACACACCAGTAAACGTGCAACATCTTGGTTCCAGACCAACAAGATTGACGTTATGGAGTGGCCAGCCCAATCCCCGGATCTTAATCCAATAGAAAACTTGTGGGGTGACATCAAAAATGAAGTTTCTGAGGCAAAACCAAGAAATAGAGAAGAACTGTGGAATGTAGTCCAATCATCCTGGGCTGGAATACCTGTTCACAGGGGCCAGAAGTGGTTGACTCCATGCAACACAGATGTACAGCAGTTCTCAGAAACAGTGCTTATACAACCAAATATTCATGAAGTGATTCAAAGGAAAGCAAAATCTTCAAACATTTTTCAGTTTATATAGTGAATATTTGAGTTTGTAAAGAAGAATACAAACACTGCTTTTATTTTTGAACAGTCTAATATTCACTTTTCTTCAATTTTTTTTAGAGGAACAACACAAATTTGATCTATTTTTCTTCATGTTTTGATTTGGAATAGAATGTGTAGTGTTCCCAATGCATTTGTGTGTATGGAAATAAAAGCTATTAGAAGGATTTTGAGCTTTATTCACTTTTTTCAACACACTGCTATTATTTTGAACACAACTGTATGTACGACTTTAACCTCTATAGTCCAAATATACAAAAATCTTATCATATGGGGGAATGTGAAGGTGAACTTAGACCAATTCATAAACGTCAGCACGTGTCAAGGTTTCTCTTGTGTTATAGGAGATACTTATTGAT